TTTCTTTCTCGGCCTTCATAAAGCAGAAACATTAAAACCGAATGTTTTTCATTCAGTTTTTCTTCAGATGCAGGCTGATTCATCGTGCTGTTTGAATGCCGTTTATGGATTTGTTGGATTTGCTTTACGAATACAAAAACAATTTCCTTCTGATCGATAATGGCCAACTTGTTTTCTGTAATTGTATAACTAGCAGAGGACAACAAAAGACGTGGGCTATTTTTTTCTTCTTTTGTCATTTTTATATGAAGAGAAAAAAATCGAATTTGAAATACACCATCAGGCTCTGCTCAAACCAACCTACTACATGATGTTATGTTTGTGCCTTCTCGTTTTAATGCATAATGTTTTATTTTCTTGTCAAGACTGTTTGTCTATTACATATTACTAAGGCAGGATATGTGTACTGTATACATCCTTGTGTTTTCTCCCACGTTCATCCCTACCTGTCTTTTTCTGCTCAGATTCAATTCAATATCCCTGCTCTTACCTACCACTCCTTTCATTACTCTGCTTCTCTCTTCTCTCCAGTCCATAATTGTCCTTTTGCAGTATATTCTCTTATCCTTTCTGCTCAACTTCTGTTAGTTGTTGAGTAGTTGTTTCCTCCTGCCCCTTATGATACACATTCTTCTCCCTGCTGGCCCTGTGGCACAACAAGATGCCCCAAAACATCAGGACTGCACTCTCTGATGACTCCAGGTCAGCTCCAGCTCCAGGTCCTCTAAACCAGACCCTTTTATATTTCATGACTATTATTTTAAGTGCTGTGCCTGCTACTGCTTTTGCTCTGTTCGCTGTGGACAGTGCTTTTGAGAGCTCAGTATGTAATATTTTTTCCATGTTTGGATCTTGCCATTGTAAGATCTGACTATTATAACAAATTTATTTTGTTTATTCCACATATTTGTACACCATTAATATTTTGGAGCTCACTGATTGCAAGTGATGGATAAATGTTTTTTTCTCTGATAAATGTATTAACTTAATAATAGTAATACAGGCTACTGTATACTGTATGTAGCAGAACACTGAAGAGGCAGAAATATTGTCTGATAATAAAGGATCTGTGGTGCTTCTCATACACAAAACTAAAACAATACTATTTCAAACAGTACTATAAGAGCTCTTGGTTTGTGACTCTATTTGATCTGGCAAAAGATAAATGGCATAATTCCTCGTTAATTAGCTATAATCCTGTAAATCATTGCTCAGTGTACTGCCTTGATACAGCTTCATAATCTGCTCATTAATAAAACTTTCAAAATGAGCCTAATAATACAGTACCAAATCATTGGTAGTGTTATTCATTAAACGTTACATAATCGGCTTTTTCTTGCATTAGTTATTGCAGTCTTAAGAGGGCAATCCAGCAATTCATTTATTGGGATGCTTAATGTACAATTCGATTTTTCACCTTGAATAAAATACAAAACATACTTCAAAACATATTTCTGAATATTAATTAGAATCCCAGCTACAGAACAAGTGCAAAGCTTTAATGGATTTCATTAAACCATTAAAAATTAATGCATAAGCATACAGTATTTCAAGGTATGTGGGGTACATGGCTGCTATTAATCTTTAAACATGTTTTTTTTTCTCAGTTTTTCAGTTCAGTTCAGTGTCTGAGCAAGAACAACATCAGCAATAAAAGCCATGCTGCGAATCTTTGTGTACTTTTCAATAAAGGATACAGCAATTGTACTCATAATGCCTCAGGAAATAACCCTTGGTATCCCATAGAGTTAGATCCTTAAAATAATTACCACAGTTGTTCCCTGTCGCTGTCTAAGTACCACAGCATTTGCAATAGTCCATCATGTCCACAAACATTTGAACAGCTAATGGGCTCATAATGTGTCACATTTCCCTCACCATGATTCCCAGCCCTCCTACACCTCTCATTATACTCAGGGGTGCTGTTTCCGCAAGACCAACAGGCAAAAACATACATTCTTTTTTGTCCATTTTAATTAATTTCGATTGGATTAACTTTTTTTTTTTTACATTTGTATGTAATATTCCCACACGGCACTCCTGCAGCACATCCGGCTGGGCTTTTAAAAACAAGCCTAGAGGAAAAAAAACAAAACAAAAATCCAAAATTAAAAAGGAGATCTGTAGCAAAGGTCATAGTCACAAACCTTTTACCACAGAGAAAGAAAACCAGATGAGTGGGATATTGAAAATCTTCTAGAGATTTCAAATGTTGATACAAATCCTTCTTTTGGAAGGTTTTTTTTTGGTGAGTTTTGTAACACTGTATGTTTTTTGTAACTTCAGTGCAGAATTAAGTGAGGTTAAAGATATAGAACATAATAAAAAAGTTACAAACCATAGTAGGTCATCTGAGCCATCTTGCTATTTTTGACAATGCAGACTTTAGAAAAGCTCATAACAGGTTCAAGAAACAGGGCTACAAGCTGCTGCAAAAAGTGTTTACTTAACTACACACACATTTGTAGTTGGCTCTTGACCAAATATCACTTGCTTGCTCCAATAGAAAATACCAACCCTTCAAAACTGCTTCATTTACAAAAAAACACAACCAAGAAGGAAAGGAATTTAATGAAATCTTAAATTATTAAGATAACCAGAACAACAGAATGTTTCTCAGGCCTCGATGGTACATTGTAAAGGTTCAGTGGCAAACAGAAAGTATAATGAAGAAGACTGTTTAGACAGTTCCTTCTCTCACCTACTGTAGATTTTAAATGAAGAATTTTAAAAAGAAGTTCTGGTTCGGAGGCAGCACCAAGCAAAAAGTTGAGTGATGGCTATGCCAGGACATGTGCATCAACCGGGGGCAATAGAATATGTTATTCTATTTCTAATCACTGCATATATCATATCCTTAACATATGAATTACTTTCTCAATAAAAGCCCAGAGCTGTTTAGACCCACCTTCAGTCTCCCCAGAAATGAAAGCCTCAGACTTCAGATGATTGCTTCTCACAGTGATTGGTACTTTTGTGATAACAGTATGGCCAGGATGCATTTCTGAAAGAATAGCAGGACCCTGTAGTTGAAGAGGAAATGAGCCCTCACTACACTACATGTGCTTACACATTTCCAAGGAGGCTGCCCAGTTCTTTGTATAATACAGGAATGAGAAATACCAGATTCCAATCTGATGAACAGGTCACACCAGGTCGCTGTGGTAGTGAGATGACCTATGTGCTTCCCAATCATTTACTTTGTTTTTGCAAAATGACTAGCCCCTTATATGTCTTCATTTAAGTGAGTTTCCTCCATTTAGTGAGGACATGACAATATTTAATAAATATACAGTTAGTTAGATTTGCAGTTAAATCTCACTTTCATCAATATTTAGAACTTACATAGACCTAATTAACCTACCTAATGGCAATTTAGTTGTCAATATCAGTTATCAATATACAATATCATTAATGCCAGTGCAGTTGGCAATATGGACAGCACTCTTAATGAGAGCTGATAAATTAGTATTTTGTGCTGCATCTTATCTCTTGTGATTCTGAAGAGGAATGGGAAAGACAATTTGAATGTTTTAGTTATTCTTATTTATTTTATTTCATACGTAACCATATACACACAGGGGCTTATAGACTATAGGTAACCTGTCTAAATAATTGTATTGTAAAAACTATGAGTGTGGAACGAAGCCGACTGGCACAAATCCAAATGGGTCACTGAGGTACCTTTTCTCATGGACAATGACAGTACACATGAGGGCACTAGTTTCACTGGTATGAAGATGTATGCAAGTCATTATGTTCAGGAGGGTGCTCACGCAGGGTCTATACAGAAACCTGCTAAAGTTCCATTTCTTTGTATACTAAAAACAACTTCCTAAATTTGGTCTTTTGGTCTTGGTCTCAAATTTGGTCTTCCATTTTTGTTTATTTTTCTTACATAATAAAACTGGACAAACACAAACTAATTTCCTGTACCTCAGTACAGGAACCTGAAAATATTATTATTGTTGCCTTTGAGACATGCTTTTCAAATTTTCAATTTAATGTGATTTAATGAAAATCTGAAAAGATTCCTCAAGGCAGAAAGTTGCATATTTTACTTTGCAAAGATGGAAAATTGCATCATTTTTTCTATACTAAATAGATATCACACTGTAATAAAGAGATTCAAATATTATGTTAATTTTAACTTATAATTTATGAATGGGAATATTCTTTAGCATAATAGTTCTTTTTGAAATGAAAGCTATTCATTCCATTTCAAATCAATATCACATACAGAGGGCTGTAAAATATTTTTTAATCAAATAATATAAAGGTATAGCTCCAAGTGCCAGTGGGAAATGATTGCAGATCAGTTGTTCATAGACAAAAACATGAAGGAAATGTGCATTAGAGATAATTTATAAAGATAATTGAATAATATTTTAATATCCCTTGATGAACAGGGTGTGCACACCCTACCAAGCTTACTAATCTTGAAATGTTCTGAAGCAGGAGTGGCATAATGTAGCCTCAAGTGCCCTTCAGATTGTCCACTGTGTACTGAGCGTCTACAGCCCTAAAGGAAGCTGCTCTTAAGTGGTGGATGAAGAATGTCCTCTCCTACTGTACCTGTGAAAGGTTTTGAGATCCTTCAGGATCCAATGTTCATTACAGAAAATATCATTGCTATTACATTGTTGTTCTGTCCTACTGGTGAATATTAGAATCTGTGATATCTGGCAAATGGGTCTTTCAGCAGTATTTCTGTGTTTTGCAGAAAACTTAACCTTCACCTATCCTATTTTCTCAAAAAAAAATCTCCTTCCAATTTGCACATTCCTTTAAGAAATAGTAAGTGAAACACACATTATTTCTTTACAGCAATGACTGTTTTAATTTCATGCTACTAATAATTACTAATATGCTTATTTAAACAAAGATTTCAATTATGAAGTCATGGAGCTTGATGATTGCATGGAATTCTTCTGTCTCCAGGTTACTCTGCTCTGCAGCTCCTCTATCAAATTCTACAAAAACCTAGTTTGGGTTTTTTTAGGCACTGGTGTGACCACAGCAGTTTTAAAAGCTGCAGGCACCATGCCAGAACTCAGGGAGTCATTTGTTATGTTAAGTACCAAGGGGCAAAGGGTAGAGAAATAGGAACAAAATAAAACTAAAAAAATAGAATCCAACTAAAAAGTGGGTTTAATGAGATCCTGTTTTGGTAAGTTGAGAAGTCGGACATAAAAAGAAGCCTGTAAAGTCATGAAAAGAGGAGAGAATTATATTTAGGTCTGTATTTCAGACTTCTATTGTAAGTTTAATTCTAATTTTTGAGTATTTATTGTGCTGCTTTGCTTTCCTGCATTGCTTTCATCCTTTCCTTCACTGTTTTACTCTCTTGAATCATCAGTTCTTCTCATCACCTTATTCTTGCTAGTCATTAAATACCCAAACAGTTTTCACTACTAGTTCTGTATTTGGTTTGCGGCTCCTAATGAGATTGAGGTGACAACCATACAGGCATGTTTTTATAATTTAATTGAAAATAATAAAAAAAACAAAGGAAAAAGCTTTGGGTATGCCTGGAGTCTTTCTAGGTATGGCGTCCTATTTATTTGATTCATACACCAGACTTTACATTAATCAAGCACCATCTACCTTGCAACACTGCTCAGTTGCACCATGGCTTTCTATATCTGACCTCGGACAAGTTAAGTTGATTGGCACTTCATATCAAATCTATCTGTCAATACGTCAACCTTTGTTTAGTTTTTGGTTCATATCAGGAATTGAGGGGTCTTTTTTGACCTAGAGCTTATACATGAAGCTTGAGTTCACATTGTGTTTGTATTGAATACAATACCAAGCACTGTTTTTGTTGGTGTTCATTAATCCCCTTTCCCCAGTCAACACTGTTACTCTCGGACTTATTGCAAGCTGTTGAAGGGATTCTGCTAGTCTTGTTTTCAAGATCATACTGTAGTTCCTTCAGCAAAGCAGGTAAAGTTCAATGGTATGACTTTTGTGGTCCTGGTCTGAGATTATGTTGTGAGCATTTTGTCTGCCACTTCTCTACTGGTATATTTTGCTGTGTTTTTAACTTTCTACAAGCTGCCATAGAATTTCCTTGCTGTCTTGTTGTAGTACTACTATGGACTTTGCCTGAAAACCTGCTCAATAACTTGAAATAACACCTGTACACTTACTACAGCTGTGCTGAGTTTCCTTGAGCTCCTGCGATTCACACTGTCCATCTATACTCTTCCTTCTGTGTTGGCTGATCTTGGATGTGTTGTACATCCAAAGTACCTGCACAGAGGTGTTCTGGGGGGCAGGGGGGAGTAGCATATGCACACTGTTAACAGTATTGCATCTGCTTCTATTGTGACAATCTGGTCGGATCGACATTGTCACGATATTACTAGTTCCCCCTCCTTAAGGGTGCTCCAGCCCTTTCACTAAAGACTT